TAAAATCAACACAAATGAAGTTATCATGTTTTTGATCAAAACTATTCTAACCTTAGACAGCCCCGTTAACAATTTTATCATATTATGAACGGCCTACAGGATATTTTATATTTTATTTATAGTGTCATTCCTCATTTGTAATTTAGTTTACCTACTGTTAATATTATGGTGGGGTAGTTTAATTTTTGCTAAAATCATTGCTAATAGTAGTGGTATCAAACACGCGGCCCGAGGGCCACAAGTGGGCCCTCTAAGGCTCTAACTCTTTCGGTGTGGCCCTCTATTAGTAATTATTTCTTCAAAAATGTTGATTTTTTTTGTTTTATAAAATATTTTATATTTCACATTCACATGCGTAATAGGAATTTCTCTTAAGAATTGAATTCGATCATGATAATCACAATGCGATAAAAATAATGTATAAAGATTGTGCCTGACGTATTCAGTCGTCTGTGTGCGCTATTCGTTTAAAATGTCAGGTGTTAAACTTAAATTCGGTCAAGAATACATATTTTTTTACTGGTTGTTATTCTGCAATAATAAACGATGTTAATGATAATTTATGTCTATATGCGTACGATGTAACTTTAATACAAATAACTTAATTTAATTGAAGTAAAAAACTCATGAAGTCATGACTTATGAGGAACCTTGTATGAAGTTTTGACATTTTTTGATCAAGCAACATTTTTTTATTAAGAATTATAAAAAAAATTGGAAAATATTTCACGTCTACTAAATTCATTAAAATTGCGAAAATGATCAAACTAAGGCTTGAAATGTTAGTACATTGTTTTTTTGTGTAATTCAAAAATATTTGTGGTTATTTGAAACATTTAAGAACCTGTATTATAATATTTTCTAATTTAGGTAACAATTTCAAACTATTCACTTTAATTTTAAACTATTGATTATTTATACCGTATAACGCCTACCGTATTACTAAAAGTTAAACAAATATATTACTATCATAATTTATTTATAAAAATAATATTTTAGATTTAGAATAATATACTCTGTTAGCCGAGAGACCAGGACCGTTTCGCGAATGCGACTGGCGGTATTACGGCCACTCCGTCAAACATCCCCTCTTTACGACTAAAACTATTTTATATACGCAGTGAGTTCAAATAAACGTTCGTGTGGTTCGTTATAATAATATGCTACGTATTATTGTATTAAACCAACGATAATAATACATATAATAATATTATATTATAAGATGCATTCAACACATTTTTTTCATTAATTATTTAAAAAATAACACGAAACGCGCTCCAACATATAAATTGAAATCACTACAACAAAACATGACACTGTATGCATGCATGTCCCGAATTATGAGCAGTTGACGGTTGCCAGGTGGCGCGTAGCCGTTACGAGTAAATCGACGAGTTTTCGTCCGCCGCGCAGTCCTGGTCTCTCAACAAACATCAGTGGCGCACAGAAGTATTTTGAGAGCACATGCAACTAACAAAAGTGACCCACCCACCCACCCATTTTTTATTTAAAAAAACGTTCTTTTGAACTGTTACTAATTGTTAACCTATACTTTATCTAGGTACCTATAACCATAGGCGTCTATACCTACCTACCCACCCACCCACCCACCCACCACGAGAGCACATGCAGTTGCACCCCTTGCTAACCTATCTGGGCGCCACTGACAAACATAGTACACTAATGACATAATATATGATATATGCTGACAGATCATCTACAGACTACACTGAGAATTGTTTTTCCCATGCAATGGTTTATTGTTGCATTCAAATTAAACACATGTATTAACATGAACAACTGGACTAGGTACTACTATACACTAGATTGGTTAGTGTTACCACCTACTTAGAACTTGCCTACTTTTTTCAAATGCATTCAAATTTAGTAAATTAAATCTAATATTTTGAGGAAAAACAATTTTAAAATAAGAATTTGTACTAAAATTTGTTATAAAATAAATAATAACTGTCCGGATAATCCTGAAATTAACCCTTTTAAAAGTAAGGGACATTTAAAAATAATATTATGTATGTGATGTATGTTAATAGTTAAAGGCTATACAGATATACATTAGTGGCTCGGCATGGCGCGTTAGCTGCTGCCAGTCGCGAAATACGACTGGGAGTAAGTAACGGCCATAGCTACTAGCTCCCTGATGGGTGACCACCCCGGTTCACAGTAGTTAAAAACCTTGCCACACATACACGTGTTTGCTACCTACCGTAACAATTGTAAAAAACAACCTACCGTACCAACGGGAGCATACTACTTGCGTCCGAAATTATTATCAGTAGATGAGTTGCGTCCCGCAAAAAAAAGATTCAAAAAGGACATAGCGTATTTGCGTCCCGGTATACCTTTTTCTATGATCTAATTGCGTCCCGAAAATATCGATATAATCGATATAAAAATGTACATTGATGATACAAATTTAATTTATAATAATAACAATATGAAAATGGTTATAATAAATTATCAGTTCAATTCAATCGCAATATTATTAATAATAATAATATAACAATTCATGTTATACATTTTGTCACAATAAATATAGCATAATATAATAAAAAATAATAAAAAAATGCATGTTAAACATTTTGTCATAATAAATCATTACCGAATCATACTGAATTTACAATTTATGAACTATCAGTTTTAGTGACACGATACTATCGATTTAAATGATTTCTGAAGATAATATCGATAATAATAATATGGCTGACTTGCGTCCCCCAAAACGGGACGCAACTTACCGGTCAAATTTGTTTAATTGATACATATTCATGAAAAACCACTTAATTTACCTAGGAGAATGATTTCAAATTCAGCAAAGAAAAAAGCCCTTCAAATGCATGATAATTTTATTAAAATACTTTTTTGAACACAAGTGCAATTCGACCATATCCCACAGTTCACAACCCCTACAACAGCTAATGGCCTTAGTCGCCGGGCTCAAGTTCAATAAAAAATAAAAATATACATTATTTGAATCCATTTGTAAAATATTTATTATTTTTATTATTTTATTATAAATTGAATAATTTTTTTAAAGCAGAAACTAGATATGATTTTTTTTCTCTTTCATTTTCTTTGATCTATTACCAACGTGTGAAAACTTTTCGTATATTGTGATTTAAATAAGCCACTCAGTTTTGACAATATTATAATAATTTGTATAACGCAAAGGTGAGCAATCAGAGCAAAACAATACAATTGTATATCTTTCAATTTCTGTTATACTTATTTGTAGCACTGTACTCAACAAATAACTGCACATCAAATAATGTTTATTTATATCAATATATATTGTTTTCACTTTTTAATGAATTCGATTATAAAATTAATAAATCCTAAGACTATCAAATTCCTAATAATAATGTAAATATAATAAAATCATACATATATAATATATATATACCATTATAGTTATTGGTCCCAATAAGGAAATTGTAACAACATATATATATTTTCATACAAACATTTTTATTACTTTTATATGCAAATCGTACAATTTTATATACGTCTATAAACAAGAGAAAAATAAATAACAACAGAATTACTTAAACATTAGCTGTAACTTAAAATAATTTACTATTCATTACAAATATCTATTGGTATAAAGTTACTTAAATTTAATAATATATTCACAAACAAAATATAAAAACTACAAAGTATAGTTTTGTGGTGAAGTTACAATATAACGAAAGAAGAAAGAAGTAAATTAATAAATCACAGGTCTTAAGAATAATTTTATTATTTTTAGCATGTAGTTACTATGTTTATTGTTTATGTACCTAATGCAGTCGTAACAATAAAACTAATAATAAATTCATCAAATATAATTTACATAAAATAAAAAAATAAATACACATTTATTATTTGTCACTGTTTCAAAAACAATGATATAAAATAAAAGAGTTAAACTGAAACTATTTTGTTGGTAATACATTAATAAATATAACAGTTAACCTAATATCTAGTAACAACAATTTGCTTAACCAGACACCAGGTTCAAATGTTATAGAAAATACATATCAAGACAGAAACAAGTGAAAACGTTCTTATCAAAAAAAAAAAAATATATAATAATAAATTATAAAATTGCAATTGGCAACTACGAATATGGTAGGTGGACACACAACATTATTGTAATTATTAATTACATGGGGCTGTAATATAAATTAACCACAAAATAGTCTAGTTTTTGGCACTTACAAAACAAAATATGGTAATTTTGTTCATTTTAAATAATAGTATTACACAATCATCAATGACATGATAGTTAAATAATATTATTACTAATATAATATTTACACCCTATCAACATTGAGCATTGTAATTAATAAGTTCTTAATTATTAATAGAAAATAATTAATGGTCTAATTAATAATCAACAAATTTAATCATTAAATTTAATTAATAATAATTATAAAATAAAGATACTTATTTACATTTAAAGCAATATTATTAAATATTCATTTAAGAAAACAATTTTATTGCACTTAAGTCTCCCTTCATTTTCTTAAGTTCCCTTCTCCCATGTACAAAAATGTCTTAATTATACTTTTATTATATTTAATTTAACTTTAGCTGATGACATAACACATCACTAGTTAGATTTTCCTAAGAATAATGTCAAAGTATTCTTTGAATAGTATGCATTATTTCTAGAAACATCCACTATCAATTGAGATCTTTTAAAAGTTTTAATTTAATCAAATCAAAAAGCTGAAACAATTGTTCATCATTAACCACTCTTATATTAGTAATAATAAAAATAGTTCAGCAATTATTTGTTTTACAATACAAATTACAGATCAGAAATAAATTATAATTATACATGTTTAATAACAAATATTTTTCTTGTTTTTAACGCCCATCATGTAAGATCTGTGGCTTCATAATTTAGATATTCACACTATTTAGGCAGTGTTAATACTTCTGAAAAATATTTGGATTTACATTTTCAAAACCTGTCACTATTGTGACAATATATAAGAATAATAGGGTTGCAGGTATAAAACTATTTGTATTTATCAGTTCAACAATTGAATTGGTAACTATTGTTTGGTATCCTTAGTCCATACTACAGCTTGTAATAAGTAAAATAAATCATACAGTCAATCTTCACAAACAAGTTTTTTGTTTTGATACCAAAATATCAAAACTCACCAATTCAAACACCATTCACTTTCAAATACCCAAAAGCAAATATGACATTTTAAATTTTACTATTGTTTTTGAATATAACAGGTATGATTATATTAAATATATATCATTGGTGAATGCTGACTCTGAAACATGGGCCAAAATAAAATATTTTCCCAAAAAGAAGTAATTTATCTACTTATATACAAGGAAATTTACTAAGCATGCTCATTCCAATTTTTTCATTGAATAATATGTCTTTTAAATTCTGGGGTATGAATATCATGCTTTGGGAATCACTCTGTATTTAATTTGTAAGTAAAATCATCCAAAAATACATTATGAAATAATTAATTAGAGCTCTATTATCATAGCCGGACAATTAAATTTTGAAGAACATAATAAAAACGAAAATAATATAAATAAATAAATGTTTAGAAAATGTTTACCTAGAATAGATTATAATTAATTGTTTTAATGTTTTTTCTTTATGAGATCAGGAAGAAGAAAATAGAAAAATACATCAAGAAAATCAGAATTTGAAATTCAAACTCTCCTCCTCCTTACAACTTAACACTTATGGCAAGTTAAAAAATACCAATACTTTTTATCAATAACAAAATTTATAATAATAATAATAATAATAATAATAATAATGAACAAAATCTTAAAATCATTCTGCAAGGAAATAAATCTTTGAACTTTTGAAATGTTTTTTGTTAAAACTTCTAATAAACAAATTTGTGATAGGTTAACATCTTCATTTGTTTCCTAACAAGATAGAAAGAACTTAACTTAAAAACTAAAACCTTTTTATTGGAAGTTTTGTAATTAATAAATGTATAAAGTATCCAAGTTAGTTTTATTATAAATTTACACTACCTATTTTTAAAATATTTAATAATTTATATCTCAATTATTTCCCAAATAACATATTAAACAGTATACTGGGAATAATAAAAAAGAATAACTAATTTATTCGGCTCACAGAATATCAAACTATGATTATTATAGCTTTAAAGACTAGAAAATAATATACAAATTAATCTATAACTTCATTATATTGTGATATAAATCACAAAAAACACTATAAATCTTTCTAGATCATCCAGAAACCACTATAATTCCCCTCCTTTATAAATAATAATAAAAAAAAACATAATACTGAAACATTATGATAACGGTAAAATGTGATAACTGATAATATATAAGGGACATCCTTAAACTTAAGTATAACAGTCCCAAATATTCGTAACTCTCCTTAAACCACAAAAAAAATGTGATGCAAACTACCAGATTTTTTGTTGGATGTTACTTGTAGTCAGCGTCAAAATCCAATACAAATAATTTGGTTTCTTCGGTGCCGTTGCGGCTGCCTACTGCACATACTAACTTTGTTTCATTTGCGCGTATTCGCCATACAACTCCACCACTACCACCACTTTCTAGTGCAATTAGATTTCTAATAAATTCACCTAAAATTTAAATAATTAAGTTCCTTGAGTTAATGCAACATTTACACACTAAAAAATATAATATTACCAGTTTTCACATCCCACAATTTTACAGTTCCATCATCAGAAGAAGTAACCACAAATCTAGTGTTGAATTGTAAACACGTAACAGCAGAATTATGTTTATTTGAACCTGTTCATAAAAAATTTAAATAAATCATAAATAATTAAAAAAATATTTAACTACAAATATTTACCCGACAAAGTCTGTAGGCATTGCCCAGTAAGTATATCCCACACTTTAACTGTAGAATCTGCATTTCCAGACACTAAGATATTATCTCTTAGCTCCATGCCAGATGTTAACGATTGATGTCCCATTAAAGTGTGCTTACATGTACCAGTCTCTACATCCCACACTCTTATGCTAGTATCTAAAGATCCACTTACAACATGAGTACTATCAAACTGTAAACAATTTTATCAAATTATTCAATATAATTTCATAATTTTACATGATCATATAAATATTAGTTTATAGTGTTTATACTATAATATAGTTATATACAAGAGGTTGTGAAAATATACTAAATATAAGTGCTTAAAAATAAACAAAAAAACTAACTTGTAAGGAATATACACGATTAGTGTGACCAGATAATGTATGCAAACAAATTTCACTTTCTGCATCCCATACTTTGACTAGGTAGTCATAAGCACCACTAACTATTAATCGCCCATCATATTGGACACAACGTACAGCAGCTTGATGACCAAGGAATATAGACAAGCACTGACCAGTTTTAATATCCCACAGCCTGAGTGATGCATCTCTTGAACCACTTACAACTCTAAACAATTAATAAATATAAAAATATTGTGGTTTACAAATTTAATTTATAAATTAATATAATACAAAATAACAAATGTCTTCATACTTATTTTCGTGTAAATGCATACAGCGAACTGTTGAAGTGTGACCATACAATGTATGTGTACATTGACCAGTTTCTGCGTTCCAAACTTTTAAAGTGCGATCAGTGGAACCGCTAATTATTACATTACCAGCCATTTGTGATGACCATACACCACCAGTATGTCCAACCAATGTACGCAAACACTAAAAAAGTAACCAATATATTAAATAATGATAGTAAATAATAGTTACTCAGTATAATTAAAAAGTTGAATAACAAAAACAAACTGCTTTAAAACTTACTTTTCCAGTTAGAACTGACCAAACTTTAAGTGTATTGTCATCAGAACCACTAACAACCTGATTTCCACAAAATTGTAAGCATGTAATAACATGATCATCATGGCCTTTGAGTATTATTGGCATTCTTATTGGTTTTACTCTCCAATTCATTTCAATTGCATGGTGTCTCATGTATGAAGACTGAGAAAAAAATTACAAAATTCATCAATGATAAATATTATATATAGTACTAAATATGTAGTTGTGAATACTAGAAAAAATAAAATTGTACCTATGGTATATTTTAAAATAAAATATTCTATAATATTTTAAGTTCACAAACATACCTTCCATGGTGAGGTAACACTGCGATTTTTTGAACACTTAATAGTAGACGGATCCGTCAAAGGTATACTAGCGTTTTGGCACTTTTCACGCCATAGTAAGTTGTCTTCAGATAAAAACCGCCAACTATGACATGTTTGAGCTGCTTTTAACAAGTCTTTGGGTTCCAAATATGACAATACATATAAGGCCAACTGCAATGAAAGAAGTTTTAACAATAAAAATAAATTCACAAAAATAAAAATCATTATTATTATACTTCTTTAGGAAGTAGAGAAATAAAGTCTCGTTGGAACTGGGGTTCAATAAGCTGTAACATATGACGAACTTGAGTAGGTTCACATTCATCTACCAACATATCTATAGCTAACATTCTTTCTGCGTTCGACCATTTCTGTAAAAACAATATAGAAATTAATTCATATAACAAGGGAAAAAAAGAACATTTAAATTAGTTAAAATACCAAAATTGTACAAACCGAAAAAGTTTTTAGCCATTCCATCATTTCTTCAGGAGGATCATCTTTGGACGGTATACAACTTCGCCGTATCTTTATTTTATCAATTTTATCTAATTCATTTTCAGCCAATTTAGGCGTCAGTCTAAAAATAACACAATTTCATTTAAATTAATTGTCACTATACATTAAATTTATAAATTATAATTAATAGATGTTTAAATAAAATTAAAACAAAATAAGTTTCAAATAAATGTCTAATGAATAATAAGCAATGATAAAATATATGTTTAATTTAAGGAAACACATTTTACATATCAAACATTACCTCTTGTACAATGTAAAATATCATTGCATTTCATATACTTTTTTGGCATTTGTGAATTGCATGAACTACAGCGAAATGTTAGGTTTCAAATGTGATCTATTTTAAGATCAACCAAAATTGAAGCTAGTAGAAAGTGGATAAAGAGGGAAAATGTAGAGCTAAAACCTTATTCTTATCCAAGTGTATAAGAAAAAGATAGCGGAATATGCATAGAGTCAAAATGTGTTTATAAGAGAGGCTGCTTGCCTTGTTTCTCAAAAATGGGAGCAATAAGGATGAAATGTGTAAGCAGATTCATATTCTACATATTGTGAACAAAAACTTCTGGCTACGTCTATGCTCTATCAATAACTAAGAAATAGTGATGTACAATTTACAATTAAACCCCAATATAAAATATAATATTAATAAATTTACTATAAATACACAATTTTTTGAAACTTTTAAATGTAATTGTTTTAATTATATGGTACATCTAGTATTTACAGCACCTACCACAGTATAAAATGTATGATCCACATTAAGCAACTACATAATATATTTTTTTATTAGCTTTTAGTTTTACTATTACAGTTCAACAATTAAACAAAACAACATAACTAATTACAATAAAATATTTAAAAGAAGTACAAAAAATTAAAACAGCAATTAACTTAAAAGTAAATTATATGATAAAACCAGTCTCCAAAATAAAATTAATAATTATATTTACGACTATTTCAGAATTGGAGTTGAGGATGGAGGAAAGATTAAGGGGGACATTGATGGATTTAAGAACTACATAATAATATTATATATTCTTTAGATTTTATAACATACCTTTCAAGATTCAAATTGTTTTGATCATAATATTGTTTTTTGGACGGAAAATCTTCAGACGTTATTGTGGAATTTGATATTTTTCTTTTTCGCTAATAGAAATAAAATAAATTTCAAAATGCAATATTAATTTATTTAATATTTGTTTATACTTTATATCAAGTATCACTTATATTCTTAGAATAATTCAATTTAAATTAAAAAAATTAATTTTTACTTAAAAATGTAAATTTAATAAAATATGAAAATATAGAAATTGGTAGCTTCATATGGCAGATTTTAGTAACATATTAACTTAGTATTTTAGTGTTATCTCAAATTTCAATATCTTTGTGATTAAAAAAAAATGTAGATTGATAACTGTTTTAACATTTTAATGTAATTAAGACTTTTGATTATAAGATAAATTCAAGGAACTCAAATATAAAATTATTACCAATAAGTTAACAAAAATAAAACACAGCATAATTTTCTGAATAGAAATTAGAAATCCTAAAACATAACTTTCATAAACTTTTATTATTTTTTCCAAAATATTAGTAAAATAAAAAAATACTTACCATAACGCCATTAGCATTAGAAGCATCCTCTTGTTCACTAGGATTATCCGTCCAATCATCATTAACCCAGTCACCAGGTAAAGGACTCTCATCGGAGTAAATATCCTGGTCAGTACATGTACTATCAACTAAATGAAGATTAAATACACTTTTCATTTCAATGTTAGCTACTCCAATCTCATCTGAATCTGTGGTTGGAGCAGATTCTTCTGCTATCAATTCTTGTTCTGCTGTCTCCAATATCACAGGACACATGGTCGGACTTTGGCTGGTAGAGTCAGACTTTTCAAGGCACGATGTAGACGGGTCTTCAAAATCCAGTTGATTGCCTTCCATTCTGAAAAATCATATTTATGAAAAACCATAATTACCTAATTAAAAAATATATAGTTTATACAAAAACTCTACAATAATAGGTTTTCTAATTTTCTGGATTATTAAAAAAAGTAATTCTCAATTTTTAAAAATTTAAAAATGTATAAGCATATACCTAATAACCATAATACTTGTGGTTTATAACTCTTGATGAATATTAAAAATATAATTAAACAATTGTAATAAGATAACAATTTATAATTTTATTACATGTACCTATTAGTATGTTATTTCATAAAACCATTCTTACATACCTTACCATATAAAACATAATTGAAACAAGTTAGCAAATTAACCTACTCATTTTTTTTACTTTTAGACTGTGATTGGAGCGATGATTGAACCTATTGATAATTTTTTTTAGATTCACTTATTAAATGTATTAAAGCAGATCATTTCCATTTTTTTTTTTTTATTTAATTCAATATTACATGATTTACATAAGATAAGTATAAGTACATATTGTAACTAATTCATGCCAATTATTAATTAAGAAAATAAATAGAACATTTTATTAAAAATGCTAAGAAATATTAATATTAGATAATAATGTAAGTTAGTACCTAGATAAGAAAGTTTAAGTACATTTTTAAAAATCATTGCAAGACATTTATGTTGTATTAGTATATTTATAATTGTTGAATATGGAAATTTTATCAGTGTATTTAAATAAAATAAATAAATAATGAAAATATAGAAATAATAAATATTGACCAATGACCTATATATTTAGCTAAATGTATTAAACAATAATTATTAATAATTAAATATATTTTACAGTTAACAGATACACGCTTTGTAGGTCAAAAAAATAATACAAACAAAATAAGTACAGGTCATGAATTTAAATTGATTTAATGACGATTCATAAAGTTCAACTAAGCAAAAATATGAATTTGTCTTCTTGCATGGTAAGTATTATCAAATAATGCATATTTTTCCACCACTTCTAAATTATACAGACTAATCTAATTAGTAGCGTATGAAATAATACTTTACATGCTCAGCTATAAAAATAATCCTAACATTTTTTTTTAAATTAACCAAACACATTCCCACACACACACATACATATATACATTTAATGTGTATATATTTAGGTATATGCATGATTGATGATTTAGCAACTATAGAAAATTAAAATAATGGCTGGTTATATTAATTTGTAAGGAAATTATTTTCATATTTAACTTTAAGAATGACTATTCAATGGAATTAATTTTAAACTGTTTATACATAATAAGTTATAGATAATAATAAGTCCTAGAGTCTAGGTAGGAATATGTTTGAGGTTATATGTACTCACTGACAGTGTTTGTCCAAGTACACTATACGTTCAATAAATGGAGTGCAAGAGATTTCAAACCATCTAGCAGAGACACCCCCACAACCAAATGATTTTAAAGTGCATAAAAAATCTGACTTTGGTAAAACATGCGTTTCCACAGTAAGATCTCAATTTAATTGGTCGATGACGTAACTGTTGTTTTTAATTTAACTGCAAAACCGAACACTTCCAAACAATACTACTAGCAAACCAATTGAATAACGTAATAATGATAATTACCATAAATATGGTCTTCTTAATGTTAGCAGGTGTCGGACTCCTCGCGTGAAAACGAACGACAAAATTTCAGATACGATTATGAGAAATAAATACTCGTCACTGGCCCCTGGGACACCCTTCCTTCACCAACGACCCATGACGAACTAGCATGTTATCAACAATCAACAATATTGTTAGTGATAAGAATGAAATGAAATACTAAACTTACCGAATCTCACGTTTCAAAACTGAAAATTCTTTACCTTCCTCTACCCATCTATCATCATAATTTACAAAAGCACAAAATACTAAACAATTTTAACACCTAATTATTAATGTGTATAATTCAAAAAAATGTATTTACCATTTCATTGTTATCATTAAAATTGGGAAATAATAAAGATATAACCTCAAAAATATTTTTTTATCAATTGATTAATAGATAATATCCATGATAACGCGAAAATAAAATATATAATTTATAATTTTGATATAGCATAATAGCATATTAGCATTACATTTTTACATCCATCATGTTTTCATATTTCATAGTTCATACTTCATTCAATTAATATTATATTTAATTATAGACAATAAACATTGAATAATTATTGGATGACAAACTCATATACTCTTACCCTATTTTATGTTCGTGTTCAATACTCATACCAAATCATAGAGTATTAGAGTATTACTCTATGTTACAAATATAACAACTTTTTAATTATTTATAAAGATAAATTATATCATAATATAGTATTGTCACATCAAACATTCACAAATTACAATATATTGTTGAAAACTACTTATACGTGTGTACTATTTTTTTTTTTTAATTATAAGAAGTGTTATTTTTTTTATAATTATATAAATTCGTTAGTAGATTATTTGTTTTAAATTTATTATGGCTGTACCGTCTCCAAAATCACCTGAACAGTCAGAACGAAGTCGAAAATATGACAGACAACTGAGGTGATTTTTAAATTGTTATCATCATTTGTTTTAAAATATAACACATTTATAACTTAAAAGTTTTTAAAAAAAAATCTTAAACTAAAATATAAAGAATTTAAAAAATATTTTAGACATTTTTAGAAGATTGTATAATTTTATTGATCTATAACTTACTGTTATCTTTGGCTGTCTAATTGACACAACTGAATATAGTGGAACTGTGGGGCTCAGCCCCTCAAACATTATATGTGTGTTATACTATTCAAGAAGTAACAAATAGAACTGGCTAATGCAATAACTTTTGTTATAATCAATATTTTAAATTTTGTGCTACATGTTTAATATAAAAAAAAATTTTTTTTTATTTAACTCAAATTTGGAACTTGCTATTAATAAAATATCATTAATATTGGAGGCTGGTTTCCTCATTCAATTTTGTAAATTTTTATGGTGAAATTTTGTTTATAATACTGCAAAAAGCTATTGTTGTACCACAAAAGGCTAATAAAAAAAAATATTTAAGAAAATTATTACAGGAGTCTATAGCTTTAAAATGAAAGAAATATTTGTGTACCAGAACTGTTATATAACTTGGACAAAAATATCACAACAAGAGTATTAGAGTAATATCATTCAATGTTTTGAATACTGACAAATTATGACACTTGCACAAAATCCGTTAAAATGTTAATCATAATATTTATGTATATAATTTAAAATATTTATTATTTTAGATTATGGGGTGATCAAGGGCAACAAGATTTAGAAACTGCTCATGTGTGTTTAATTAATGCTACGGCATTAGGAACAGAGATATTGAAATCATTAGTATTACCTGGTATTGGAGCATTCACCATAATTGACAATGAAGTTATAACTGAAGAGGATGTAGGTTCTAAGTAAGTTCTACAAAATCTATATTATTTAATAATGGTTAAAATTGTAATCGTCTGCTTCTCCATTAGTTTCTTTCTCACAGCTGATAAAATTGGAGAAAAAAGAGGATCAATTGCTTCACAACTCCTATGTGAATTAAATCCAGACACAAGGGGTCACTTTATTGATGAATGTTTACTAAAGTTATTAGATTTGAACCCCGGTTTATTTAACACATTTACCGTGGTTGTCACTACGTCACTTCATGAAAAGTATAAATAATAATAGCTAAATGTAATACCTAAAATGTTAAATTTATATTTTAATGGAAGATTATTTTATTTATTTTTTTTAGAGAAATAATTGATTTGTCCCATAAGTTATGGACTTACAATATTCCTCTTTTAGTATGCCAAAGTTATGGATTTTTTGGTTCTATGAGACTTCAGCTTGCTGAACATACTATGATCAAAACCCATCCAGACAACCAGAATCCGGATCTTCGGTTAGATTGTCCTTTTCAGAAACTTAAAGCACATTTTGATACTTATGATCTAGAAGCTCTTGATCTTACAAATCATTTACATGTTCCTTATCTTGTAATATTATATAAGCATTTAGAAAAATGGCGTAATGATATTGGTGATGTCAATGTACTGCCTGAAACATATAAGCAAAAACAAGTTATCCGGGAAAATATAAAAAACAGTTAGTACTATTTTCTTTTTTTTAACCATTCAGCTAAATTTAAACAACATTTGATCAAATTAAATTATAATTATGTATATAAGTATAATATAGATAAAAACTATACCTTTATAAATCAATATCAATTTAGAAATGTTTATGTATTATTTAATTTATTCAATGAATATAAAAATAAAATTTTTTTTTTTTTAATTTCAAGGAGAGAGCCCTCGGCGACATAGGCCATTGGGTTTTTGTGTTGTATAGGTTTGTATTGTAGGTTTTTGGGACGGTAGGGGGGAACACGTGTGTGTTTGATTTGGCATAATTTCGAATGGGTCACCCTTAGTTTTCTGCCATGCCCCGGGGGTGGGGGATGGCAGCACTTGTTCTCCGGTCACCGCGACTTGTCCGGAGAAAAATGCCGCCCGGTGGCCGAGGATCGAACCGCAGCGGACGCGTCAGACCACTCGGTCACCTCGTCCCCCAAAAATAAAATTACAAGTTTAAGTATTGATGTAAAACTAAATGTAAACTAATTTTAATACAGAAAAAACATATCCCTCCTCGCTATAGAATTATTATTATTTTTATTAGTTAAATAACCTTTTTATTTGCAATTGTTTTAACTTAACAATACAATTAGACAAATGTATTAAAAAATAAAAAGCAAAAGATGTTATTAGGTTAGGTAGGTAACCTAACCTTCTAAGTAATCAGACTAACTGTTGATTGAAGTAGAATATATAAATATATTATAACAAACCATAAGTTTCAAACAATTCAGTTAAAAAAATATAATTTTTGTTTAAATGTAACTATAGGTATCAGAAAACACGAAAATGGTACCTTGCATCATGAAGAGAATTTTGAAGAAGCAATTCGGTCTGTAAATTTTGCATATAATCGTACATCATTGCCAGAAAATATACAGCTTATACTTAAAGATGATAAGTTAATGAATTTAACATCAAATGTTGGTAACTAAATTATAAATATTGTGAATTAATTTAATTAATTATAAACTAATTTAGAGTCAACCTTTCTGGATAATGGTTAAAGCTCTTAAGGATTTTGTGGATAATGAAGGATGTGGCAGGCTTCCAGTCCGTGGTACACTACCTGATATGACAGCTGATACTTTTAAGTACATCAGTCTGCAACAATTGTAAGTTTTTCATGATACCCTTTTAATAGCTTAACATGGTAGCACTAACAGAAATGTTTAGATATCATGAGCAAGCTGCCAAAGACGCAGAGGCAGTCTATAACCGTGTCCAACAACTTCTTCAGAATGTTAACCTCCCTGATGATACAATCACGGAACAAGATATTAAAATATTTTGTAAACATGCATCTGAGTTATGTGTTATTAGAGGTACAAGGATAGCTGACGAGTATGAACGTAAGGGAAATGCTGATAATGATATATGTGAGTTTGTTGTTTAGCTATATTCAAAAGTCATAGACGTGCAGGGTATGTCACTACATATTCTGTGACTCCAAGGAAAAACCTTTTAATACTCTTTTAAATCTATTTTTTTTCTTTAATAACTTAAGAATAATGCATTACAAGTATTTGCTTTGAAAAATTTCTTTGTAATGAAAAACTCCCTTATTTTTATCTGAAAAACGCTTATTTTGGTATAAAAAGTGACTTAAACTTCAGTCATTAAATAAAATATTTTTTTCATATACCAATTTTATAATTTTATAATTCAATACTAATAATTTTTGGTTTTATTACTGCACCTTTTTTTTTGTTTATTGTGCAAACCTAATTATTTTTGGGTCTTAAATTATTGGTTTTGTATACCCTGCCGATGACGGCTATTTCCAATCCATGTCAATGACAAAAATAAATTAGGAATAAGTATTTTACTACTTTTAGGTCAAGTTAACTGTTTTATTTTTATTTTTGAACATGATTTATACTTGTTGTTAGCTCAAAGCCTTGAAGATCCAGACAGTTTGATTGAACATTATATCATACTACGTGGAATAGAAAGATTTTATTCAGAGTATTATACATACCCTGGTGAAATTGATGAACAAGTTGAACCTGATATTCCTAAGCTGAAGGTAGGCACTAGAATTATATCTTGAACACAAACTTAACATTTTGTAACACATTGCACATCTTTAGTTATGCATATCCAAACTATTAAGTGAATGGGGTTGTTTGTCTTCCACAAAAGAGGACTACATACATGAATACTGTCGCTATGGCAAGTCTGAGTTACACTGCGTATCTTCGTTTATTGGTAGGATTTTATTATTTATTTATTCTTGAATTTGTACCAAATTAATTACTTTTCAATTTTCATATATTTACAAGTATATATTTATTTTCAGGTGGTTGTGTATCACATGAAATAATAAAAATAATCACACGGCAATATAAACCAGTAAACAACTCGTTTGTATTTAACGCTATTAACTGCAGTACAGAATCTTTTACATTGTAATATTAAGGTTTTGAACCAATAATTAGGAGCAAAATTGTATGAATACTATATTTTCTTACTTCAATAAAAAGCAAACCAAATTTTTAATTGTTTTTAAAAATCCTATAAATTGTAAATAATCAATATTTGATACACACGTTTTGGTTCATTATTTTAATTTAATAATACATTTCATTACTACATTATCATATTGTAGATAGAATATAATATACTATAACACATAGGCGTGCACACTGGTATGGCATGTATCCACGTAGGGAAGACTAGCCTCATGCCCATACCTAATATTTAGTTTTTAAGACCTCTTAAGTCTTCTACCTCAAAGCTAAAATGAGAAGTCATATCACATTAAAATACTTTGTTTGAGTATAGGGTTGCCAAAGTCCTGTATAATATGGGAATATCCCTTTTTAAAACTAAATGACCCTTTGTTCCGACAACTGTCTTTGGAACTATATATTATATATCTTTTGTCATAACTACCATCTACCATGATATTCAGAACCACTGCCCCAAAAAAAAAAATTGTCCAGCATACCCCAACTCCTAAGTACAGCCATATGAACATGTATTCATATTGTACAAAATAGTTTTTTTTTTTCATTGAACAAAAAGTTTTTTATTTACAATCTGTAAAATTACAAAGGAAGTCATACAATGAGTAAATTTGATGGGGATTATTGGCTTGAAGGGGTAATCCCCATTGACGACACCCAGTGTGAACGTTTTTAGGGTGAGAGTGGGTCCATTATCAGTACACCAGATCTTTTTAAGGTGTCTGGGTAGGTTACCTAGAATTTATTTGGATGAGATGTGAGTGAGATTATGAGAACTGTAAGTTTTTTTTTATAGGTGAACGTAGTAAGATTATTTAAGGTTGGAAATCAAATGTTTTCATGAAGTGAGTCATTGAGGATGTACCCAGGAGCACCTGTTAATAATCGTAGATATGTAGACTTCTGTTCGCCGGACTTTTGTTCGTGGATTCATAACCGATTAGCCCGGGGGCCGCTGCAAAAAACTAGTTTTGGTACTGGTCTAGTTGGCCCCCGCCAGGAAGGAAATTCCCCCGCCACTCAAGTTTAGTTGACGCCCGCCACTAATGTATAATATACTGATATACTGCAGAGTGCAGATAAAAAAGGTACGAAATCATATACGTTAGTTTATGTGTGAAATTCTCTAATTAGATATTTTAAGAATTATATTTGGTAAAATCCGTGTGATAAAATGAATTATATAAGATAGGTATAACAGCGGGTGCCGTATATAATATTATGAAGTACCTACCTCAGTTATTCAGTTGTTGTCATCTGAACAAAAAGAAAATGAATTTCCGACAAATTTATAGTGACGTGCATGATCGCTGTGTACTAATTGAGTCCCTGTACCTGAACGGGAAAAAATTAATATACTAATTGAGTCCCGGGTACAAACGAGACATATACTAATTGAGTCATGCATATACTATCATGCACGTCACTATAAATTTGTCGGAAATTCATTTTCTTTTTGTTCAGATGACAACAACTGAATAACTGAGGTAGGTACTTCATAATATTATATACGGCACCCGCTGTTATACCTATCTTATATAATTCATTTTATCACACGGATTTTACCAAATATAATTCTTAAAATATCTAATTAGAGAATTTCACACATAAACTAACGTATATGATTTCGTACCTTTTTTATCTGCACTCTGCAGTATATCAGTATATTATACATTAGTGGCGGGGGAATTGCCTTCCTGGCGGGGGCCAACTAGACCAGTACCCTAGTTTTATAAATATATCTGTGGATCTACGTCACAATTTCATGAAAAAACTATAAATTTATTTTTATTCCATGATAAAAACTGTTTGATAAAATCCTATATATATATAGTTGAGTTGGAGTACCGACCGTGAGTTATCATTTATCAATTTATCATGACACATTGACATGAAACAATAACAAAATTATATACTTGTTAGTATAATATATAGCAAGCTGCAGCGTTTGATATTTTGATATTTTATTGGACTTTAAACTTCAATTGATTATTGATATTATCATAATATTAAATTTAGTAATATTTTTATCCACTATCCTAGACCCTAGTTTAAGTGTATTCTGTATTTAGTAATTAGTATTTGGATAACACTAGACAGTCAGTGTCTCTCACGCCATGCCGTCACCGAACATGATCTCCGAACCACTCGACGTCAGGTAGGCATAATTTATTGTCGTTCACGTATATATTATGATTTGAGGTTTTACTATAGTAGTATAGTCGATTATTATCCGTGTTTCAGTTTTGTCATCGAAGAGCTCGAAAACGACGAGATCCAAGAGGGCTGTCTGACGGCCGAACAGTACACAAAATTGTTTTCTGCCTACTTGTACACCAACGAACTGTGCGCCGCAAAATTCTTGTGGCGCCGTGTGCCCGAGCCAGTCAAAGCCGATCCCGAATTGCATAAAGTCTGGTCTATTGGCAAAGCCCTCTGGGCGAAACACTACACACAAGCATATGAACTGATTGACTGTAAATGGTCTAACGTACTGGAACCTATCATGATTGCGATCAAGCGTCGCATCCAACAAGACACATTGAAGTTCATTAGCATGCACTATGAAAACATACAACTTGACAAATTTCAAACATTCATGGGGGTTGATAAAGAACAAGCGGAGAGAATAGTGGAGAGTGAAGGCTGGACATGTAGAAATGGATATGTCATGCCAATAGCAATCAATGAACCCGATTTGGGACTAGGTGGTAGTCAAGAAATCCTGGATAGATTGGTGACTTTATCATCATTTACGTCTTATATTGAAAATTAAATCAGTTTATGTCTGTGTATTTATTCAATTTAAGGCTGATCCTAACCTGTCAAATAAGATAACTTGGTTTAAAATTAATTTTAACAAACAACTGTTGTGTTAAGTACTCAAGTGTATAAAAATGTAATATCTATACATAAGGATAATATTAAATCTATATCTTTTATAAATATCTTCATCTTTTTTATTTTATATTTATATATAACATCATTTACTTAAGTTGATAAACAATACTTAGTACTATGTTTATGTGTTTTGTTTAATAAAATCTATTGCATTCTAGATATGAAAACTATTCAATTTAAAAATTTAACATCCATACTTAAAATTATTTTATTAGATTCTAAAAACTTTTCATAAAATAATATGCGCAGATTTTATGTTATATCGTTATATGTTATTATTTTAATCTAACATTTTATACTCTATTGCAACTTAATGTACAAACCTTTTCTCAAATTATTAATGTTATAAATATATTATATATGTATTATCAAACTCGTATACTGAGTTAAGTGCAAGAATAAGTGGATTATGGTGGTTTGTAAGACTAAAGAATCTCTTGTGAAAGGATGTAGCCACTTCAGCGACAGTCCGTAGTCCAAGATCTTAGTTAAGTGTATAATTTGATACCTTTAAGGACGCATGCATTAAAGTGATATGAATTGAAAAGTTTTGGATTTTAATAGTATAATGAAACATTTAAAATTATAAAAAGTAAAAAAAAATATGTTTATATATAGGGTGGCCAGTGAGGATACACCCATTAGCTGTAGAGGAGGACTCGCTGCCCCGACAAATCCAGTTTTTTGCCATTTAAGCTCTCATTAAACTAATTGATAGTATATTATATTATATTATATTTTAATATTCAGTACTATTTAATTACCTGTATTTTTTAGAAGAAAAGCATTCCTATAGCAAGTTCAACTTATAATTTAAAGTTTTATTAATTATCAATTATTAATATATAAGAAACATTGAGTAACAAAGAATGCAATATGTGTAATAATTAAATAACCAATTATTACTATACTGTCTAGAGAGAGAACGCGAAGTAAACCGACCAAATCTGGTTCCTCACGTAACACCCTACCACAGGTTAATCAGTTTTTTAGGAGGGATGGAAAAACCGGTGCATTCTCTCGCTGAACAGAGTATAGTGTCTATAACTGTACATGGACTAAAAGTAAAAATCATATAGTTTATTTTGGTAGCTTCAGAGGATATTGTATCCGAGTGTGCTATCTTTGTCTTACTACTCAAAACATATGTCCAGCAGTTTTAATTTTGTGTTGTTAATCTTTAATCTTAGAATGAATTGACCCATTATCAAGCCTGAGGGTGAGAATATGTCATTATCTATGTTGTCTCATTGATCTTATTTTAAGATATTTTAACTTTTAAGTGAGTTTTTAGTTATGACTTATGGCTATGTAAAAAATTTTAATTTAAAAATGCTTATTATTCGGCGCTTGATGAAAAATGTAAGTGTAATAAAAAACCAACAAGAGAACACTTACTTAGTTCTGCATTTAAATTTAATAAGAGATCAATTTAATTTACTATTATAGCTATCAACACACACTGTTTGTAAAACGGATACATACAATACATGTGGCTGCGAGACATGAATTATGCTTACGAAAATTAAACTATTTTGACAATGGAACAAAATCATGGGCTTCGTTTTTATTATGGTACATTTTAATCAGTTGAATTGTAATTAATTTGTAGTACAATACTCATAACTAGAACAAATACATTAATGTCATGTAGTATAATATTAATTATATTTCTAGATAAAATGTGATAAAGTCAAAAAGAAATTTTTTAAAAAATATTTACATTCATTGGTTGATATTTGGTACATTTTAATTATTGTTTAATAATTGTAGAATTTTAAACATAATTGAGTTAAAAATGTAAATATTATTCAAGTACTAATTGCATGAATATAATGTGTACAATATGTACATAACACATAATTTAGTTTAAAACAAAATGATTTATTTTCTATAGAATTAACAATAATTTATATTATTAAGTTTTTAATTATTTTGTTTCATTCACTTTGGTAAATAACACAATGTTTTCCTCAGTATGAATATATTTTCACAAAAATATTTAAAAAGTAATAATAAGAATATGAGTAAAAACCAATAAATAAGAACTTGATGTTAATACATACAAGATTACAATAATTTATTATTAAAAATTAAATACAAACAGTTGAAACTGACAGATAAAACACATTTTTTAGAATAAAGATAATACATTTTGTTTGTATACAATATTAGTCTATTAGAAAAAGATAGAAAGAGAGAATAACAGTAATCCAATATATTTAGCCGTCAAAGATATTTACCAGTTTAAAAAATTCAAACAAACTAAAAAAAAAATAACTTTCACAGGAGAAAAAACAATAACCAAATAATCTTTAACTAATTACCTGCACCATAACGGGCTTATAAGCTAATTGATCTGTGCATAAAGAAAGGTTTTTATTTATATATTTTTCCAAATTAATATGCGCATGAATATTTATAGGATATTGGATTATAATCATTGATGGCAACTTAATTATATATATATATATATATATTATTTTTTTATAGACCTTAACAGATAGGACTATGCACAAAGAATTTGCATTAAAAATTAAAAATACAATGTTTTGCTTTTCGTTTTATAAATTAATATTATATATTTATTTTCAAATTTAAATGTTTTCTTTTTCAAACGTAAAATTAAAATATCTTACTAAAATACATATTTTCCAGCGATAATACCCAACAATGCAACTACTATCGCCAAGCCAACCATCAGAGCGATATTGGCATTTCTGTTTTGCATATCCAAATGCTGACTACCACCAACAGAACGCTTTTGAGATTGCTGGTTTTTCATTTCATATTGAAGCTGCAATAATTCTTCCTATGATGCAAAATATAGAATTAAAAAAGCAACTCGGGAATTGAAAAAATATGTATAATTGGCAATATCTCACTTTCAATTTCATATTTTCTTGTCTTAAGATTGTCTCTTCCTCACGTAATTCTTTTACTTCACTGGCTGCTTTTTGTAGTTCTGTTTCAGTATTTGTTTCTAATACAGCCTGTTTAAAAAATATTTTTAAATTAAAATGTTAATTTCATCATATGGGACTAATCAAAAAACTTACTGTTGTATCATCATGAATGTTTTTAGATTCTAATAACTGTTCGACTGTAGGCATTTCAAAGGAGCACTTTAATTTAGAATCCATTATTCTACCTTCTTCAACATCTCTCCACTATAATAAAATAAATATTTTTTATTCATTTAAAATATAATTTATGTTTTAGATCAACTATATTCTAAAAAAAGTAAACCCAAAACAAAATTTAATTTGTAATATATATATATATATACATATATTATCTATTTAAAATAAGTTGATAATATTTTTTGACTTAAAAATTGTTATGAAAGATTGAAGTAACCTGAAAAGTTTTGCCATCTTCACCGTAGTCAGCAACAGGATCGATAACAACAGTCTGTACCAAAAACTTGTGTTTATTTCTTTCATTGGCATCATAGTCGAATGGTTGCAATATTACTGGATAACAAATTCATAACACACACCAACAAAACGCAAGTTAGAACAATCATATTGAGGAAAAGTATTTTTAAGGTTCATTAAAATATTATAAAATGGTAAATAAATAAGCTTGGTAAGAAAAATAATCAAACAAAAAGGAAAAAAAATTCTGAAAAGGGTTGTTAATCTAAAGATCTCAATGCAAATCAATAAAAATATTATTTATGAGCATTTGTTTATAGGTACCTGAAATTTCTGCTTTTTCTTTAGGAGCAAGTTCACCGCAATTTGGTCTGACACAATAACGCTTAGGTGCAGTAGTTTTTATTTTGAAAGCCACTTTTTTATCACTTGGATTTTTCAGAGACATTATTGTTTGAACTGGTTCAGTAAATGGACCTAAAAAAAATTTTTTTTGTAAATTTTTATCACCTAAATTGTAGTGTTTACATTTTCAGAATAATAAGTAGGTAAATATAAATAAATTTTGCACTCACTATTATACTTAAATTCATAACTAAATTAGGTAGGTATAATGTATTCAGTAAAACTACCATCGAAGTCCATAGAATTCATAGTTAGTTGACGTCAACCTACGTCAAATACTTTTAAATAAAATATTGGTACTTAATTATTGTATATTATTTTATATAATTATTTATTGTATAATTGTTATTTTATATAGTTATTGAGCCATAATTGTTGTAAAAAAAGCTAATAAAAAAAAAATTATTCTTATGTGGAAATGATGGTCTAAAAGTTTATACATTTAACATATTTCAATAATCATAATAAAAATTTTATAATTAATGTTCAATGATAATTTATACTAAAAACAGTTATATTTATTTTTTTATACCCACATTAAGGCTTAAAGGATTGTTTAGGCCAATTAATGTTTAGAACCCTCGCCTTACGCAGTTACACCATGCATTAAGAATTCATGATAAGATAAAAATATAAAACACTAGTGGAAATTATTGTTGCTTATAAAATATTAAACTTTTCACATACCAAACCATTTTTATATATTTCTCTTTAATCTAAAATTATAATCTTAAACTATACATATTAGAAATAATATGGTGGATTTACAATTTTTTGATTTCAGTTATCGAGCATTTATTAAATGTAACAGTAGAAATGTTAAGTTTTAAACAGTGGTTATATTATTTTTAAATCTATAATATTATACTGCTAGTATTAGGCATGCTAGTCAATAGATAATTACTTATTAGAAATTATGATCATAGCAAATTCATAAATATTGTATTCGGTAGTGTAACATTTACTGTTTACTAAGGAATCATTCTTAGTCCATTTTTTTAATATTTAATTACATTACTACAATTAGTTTGCTATAAAGTACTTGTCATAGGTTTTTGTGATGGGTAGTAAAGTTAAGTAGGTATTAGGAAGGTATAAATGATTATCAAGAAGACAGTCAACATTTACAGAAGTACACTTTATTAAAATGTGCGTAACAATTTAGACATAAACTAGGCATCTAATATGTAGAAATAAACCACTTTTTTGTTCTAGGTACATACAAAAAAAACACAATAATTAATACAGTGCGAAGTCTTTATAACTAATTTGAAGGAACCAAGAGATTTCTTTCATTAAAGAGTTTTTGTAATAGGTTTTAATAAAAACAAAATTTTTATTCATTATTCATTTATCATTATTTTATCAGGTTCTTGTCTATTTCTACCTACATAATTTTGTATATTTTCAGGAATTAAAGTATGTGGTATTGAACTGAATAATTACTCACTCAGCGGTATATTTATTTTTTTGTCATTTATGCAGATTACTTTTATAAGATGTTAATATTGTATTACGGAACATAAAATATTGTTAGTTATTGAGAATGACTAATACACTATAGAGAATGAATTGACTTATGGGTTGTATAGCAAACATCATTATTACGTAATGTTTACGTCATAGAGTTTTCACTGTATTTTTGATTTCAACACAAATGGACAACATACAACAACCAACAATCGGTTTTGAAAACTTTAAATAAGGGCGACAATGGAATACAAAGGGAAACAATAGTAATCAAATAGATGAATAAAATAAAGAATGAACGATGTGTGGAAGACACAGAGTACACTAAGCAAAATTGTTCAATTCTGGGATACCTACGTGCAATGTAATGTGTTCCTCGACATACATAACTATGTAGCTACAAAGATTTCCGACATTTACGGAAAAGGCGATCAAAAGGGTTCTCTCCAAAAACAGAACACACAGACATAGACACACACAGACCCAAACCCTCCGTGTTTTGTGCCGATTGTTACTAACCTTTGAATTTGAGCTCGTGCGGCGGCTCGATGAATAGTATCTGTTCGATCTTGGACGACATGATTTGTTGCTCGGGACAAGTGGTATCAAGACGGTGAAAGAGCTGTCGTCAAGTCTGTTCGCAGGCGGCAAGAATGAACTGGAGGAGGCGTAGTCGACGGTGGCTGGTGCTGATATTGCCCGAGTTGCTACTTGCTATGCCGCTGTTAAGCGATAGCCGATTGCCGATATGAGTTGACACACACGCGCGGGCGCGCACCTCAAAGGAACACGCACACAAACGCAAGAAACACACACACGCTCTCACGAACGCTGCAAAACGTCGCGGGGCACACAGTGTTGGTAGTACAGTACGCGCACACACACTCACACACACATACACGAGAAAAGGACGGATGTGACAAACGACTGACCGGTGGACAGTTGTACCTATGTCCGTACGTCGAAGCAGAACGTTTTCGGTAGTTCGTTTTAAGACGGTCGGAATTCGAAACGTTGTCGTATGGCAAACGTTGGGGAACGCGAGACCGAAAAGGTTATGGAAAATCACTATGGTAGTTTAGTCGACAAGTGCGCATGAGTATTGTAAAGCCCTGAGCCGCGGTAGAGCTCGTAGAGGAAAACTTGATGATTAGAAAAAAAAAAACAACAAAAACACAACTCACAAGTAGAACCGTCTGTTTGACTGGAACACCAGCAGCAGCAGCAGCAGCAGCTGTTGCTATGAGGTTATGAAAAAACCGCAACATACCGCAACCGTGGTCGCCCAAAGCTGCCTCCATGCCCGATGACATGATATTGGCGGGCTTGTGACAATTTGTGAACAGTTTTAGCGGCAGACTCATTTTGTAGTTACATTTATTATTTATACCTTATACTCTATGCTCATTATACATTTGTATACTATATAATGTATACTGTAGTAACTGATTATTACTTATTAGTTATTGTAGATGGCTAATTGACTATAATAAAATATTTATTATTTTGTTATCTTTATTAGTGCTTGAAGAGAATATTGTACACCGTACACTAAGGTGCAAGAATCTTCTAAACTCACAGCATGTTATGTCTTGCAATAATGATTTGTAAAACGTATTTCAGTATTTGACTAGTATAGGTACATAGAATTACAATTTTCATATTGAATACAACTTAAAAAAAAAACTACGAGACGTTCACAAAAATATATTTATTTCATATTCAGGTTTCAGCTCTAAGTGTATTTCCAATTATTATTACAGATATTCGTAAATCGGTTTTCCAGTGGTCCACAAGTAAATACTGGTATAAAAAACTCAAGCGTTCTCTTAACTCTTAATGATTATTATTTCAATACTTCCATTTTTTAACAGTTAAACAAGCAACAGCAATATCTATACGGATATGTTTATTTATTTATTGTTTATTGTTATTATCGCCTAAAAGGCCTAAGTACAGTACAGATAAATTATAGTAAATCACGGTGGATCATAAATACTTACAATTATAATGCTATCATAAGAAAAGAGAAAAAAATATACTATAGCCTATGCCCTATAGTCAAGAATATAATATTATATGCTATCAATTTTTAAGTACATTACTGCTTAATGGTTTATAGCCTTATAGGAAACCCATTATTTATGATACATAAAGAGTATTTGGAAGAATTAACTTCATTTTTATGTACATTAAAACAATAAGTATAATCTAAAGTCAATGAACTTATGGGCAAAATGATATTAGTTCAAGGTGTTCAATTGTTTAATAATAATTTGTATGATTACAAACTTACTATAATGAATCAATGGTTTGCGTTTAACTCGTTTAAGTTTAGAATTTCACAGATTTAATAAATGCAATTTACATTATCTAATTCCATTAATAATTTATTACCAAGTTATTCACTAATTTGTAATTAGCAGTTAATACTAGTTATAACTATTAAGCATTTAGTATTTACCTACTACTAACTAACAACCTAACTAGAAATCCATTCTAAGACATTACGAAAAACATATTAAAAGTTTATAGTGTATATTTTTGCATATTTAATGATTTTTAGAGTTAAGAGCATATTTCTTAATTTTACATTTTTTTAGAGTATATTTTATAAATTATAATATATGAAGATTCGCAAATAAAAAAATAAATAGATTCATATTGAAAGAATTTATTAGATATTCTTGTATCGTATTTTTTAAATTTTCATTTGGCATTAAAAACAATGTTTTGTATTGTTTAATATAATGTATAAATATTTATAAATTATAATTACAGCGTGCTTTATCTAAAATAGAATACCTATTATATAAATATAAAATAGAAACAGCTGCAATAGAAATACGATCATTTTCTATAAATACTTTTCTAGGTAAATAATTCAATGATTATTGTTGATGGGCTAATGGCATTAACAGACCTACTGCCCACATATTATTGTCAATTCCGACTACGTATTTATTTTATTCAAGGAACATTTTGGAGATATTTTTATATAATTTTTTTGTTGTTTAAATTATGATTAAAAATTAAAAATAAAAATTATTTATATTACTGTGCTTTTTCCATATTTATAATTTTACAAAATATTTCTGCAAATGAAAATTTTGTTTAAAAAAATAAAATATAAGTGCATATTTTTAGAACATATTTGTACTTTTTTAGCGCATAAGAGCATGCATATTTAGTACTTTTTAAGTGCATTAAGTTCCGAGCCCTAACTTATAACAGTAGATTTTTGGTGATGAGTGCCGTTAGAATAAGTGGTAAAAGGAGAGAAATTAGTGGACTGGTTAGTCGTAATACATTTAGATTTAGAGCAGTGTCTCTCAAACTGTGGATAGCAACCCACTGGTGGGTCGTGAGTCAATCTTGGTATGTCACAAAAAGTTTTTTTAATTATATAGTTTCTAAGAAAATTATGATTTTTGAAAACGGTTAAAACATAAATTATAAATTCCGAAAATTATGGAAGGGTTTTAAATTGATTATTTAAAATAATTCGTTATGTATTTCGTTATTATAATTATGGGTATTTTTCGTAATTTTAGACAATTTTCAAGACTCGATAATTATGTCAAAAGGTAAAGGTCTGAACTTCTGTGAAAATAGTCAACTTCATAAAAACAAGGCCATTGCAATCACGATAATTTTTGAAAAGTTGTACTAGAAGATGGAAAATTCTTATAAATCACTTATTTTGTACACTGAAGTATTTATTCTAATATTAAATATATAAAAATACAAGCCCTTACTCGTTTAATATACGAGTAATATCCCTCAATATTTGATGATGTATAATTTTTTTTTACCCACAAACCTTTTGTCTTATACGTTCATAAAGTATTAACTAATGTATAATAATTAATGAATTATCTATAGGGCTGCATTTATAATAACCTATAAAAAACAAAAAAATTTCAAAACAATGCACATACAAAATGATCTTACATTTTTTTATTAAATTGTAAAAGGAGTTGTGCAGAACTATACAATTTCAAGTCTTTTACGTGGACTTTCATTCTGAAAAAAAAAATTTTTGTTTAATTTTCCCTCGCCACTCCTATAACCTTGATATTCACGTGGTACGGATCCATTAAGAAAATTACGATTTATAATATATTCGCTTACCTAAAAACCTTGGTGACAGGTTACAATATTACTTAATTGTTTGTTTAAGTTAAATCTTAAAATAGGATTTTAGTGTTTTTTTTTTTTGTTTAAGAAACTTGTTGAAAACCATTAGTTTCAACAATTACAATATTGATTTTAGTGTTAGATGCCTAAAAACCCTAATATGCTCAAAAAATAAAATATAAATTACCTTGACATTGAAAATTGTCATTAAAATGATACTGGCTAGTAAATCGTCCATGAAATCTAACGACAAAGTTTCAAAGATGTACTATCTAAAGTAAGGTAGGAGTGGAAATAAAAAAATGATAAATCTTTAGTTGGTTTATTTCCTAATTGAAGTGTTTCTATGTGAAATTTTATTTAGACAAAAGTCACTATTTTTTAGAAATAGCGATTTAAACAATAATTTTCATACACAAGCAAATAAACAATTACATTTTTTCAGATATTTAAGTTTGGATTTGGTGCAAATGTGCAATACAAGTTATTTCCGTATATAAGACAAGTAGTATAGTACACTTGGAAAAATAAAGTAATACAAGGCATTCGTTTCATATGCACAATAAAAAAACATAAAATAATAAATATAATAATTGTTTATTAACATCTACAATTTCTAATAAGTTATTAACTAATAATCTAAACTAATGTACCTTCCTTATAGTTGTTGATGATGGATCAAGAATATAAAAAAAATACCTAATAAATAATAAAAATAAATATTATTACTAAATATTATTAAAACCATTGAAAACACGTGCAATTATTTGGTAGTTAAAATTCCACACTTGTATACATTTAAATTTAATATTTAAAGCTAATTACACAAAATAATATATACCTAATAGGTACAGTAATAATAACCCCCTCATTGTTTATGCCACCGATACCAATTATCGACTATACTACATAACTTATTATTTAAGTATTGTAAGTTGTGCATCCATCATCAAAAGTAACACTTCCTGTACGGCTGTAACTGCTATGTACTTACTAATTATGATTTATGATTATGTACAATGTGATTTTTTGAACATGCTCACACCATATTTATGTTTAAATTATGTAATATGTAGAACGTAGGTATATAATATACATTATAACACTGTTTTTTGAATTTTTAAGTATAGATAGTGAAAGACTATATTTTCGAATACTTAGATTTTTCACATAATTTAAGGAAATATCCTGCTACGATACCAACTTTGGTTTTTCCAATGAAAACCTATATGTATTAATACAAATTGTGAATCAGAAGATTTTTCTAAAAATGTTATCCTATTATAATCGAAATTTGAAAATTTGAAAGTTTCCTATTTATTCTACTTTAAATACAAAGGATAATAATAGTCTACTAAAAGGGTAATATTTAGTTTTGTTTTGAAAATTATTGGGGGCAATATTAATCCATATAAGCATATTATAAATTGTAATATTAAAAATGTGTCCAAATATACTTGGTTAGGTTACACAAGTGCAGGAATTATATGGCACGGGGGGGGGGGAGTATTATTATGATATTGTATCAACAACTATCGACCATATAAAGTGTTAATAACTAATAATAATGAATAAATAGTATGTGTTATGGGAGGGACTGTGATATCTTGACTACACAACCTACAGTATACTTATATTAATACATATTATACATGCAATGAACCACCGTTATCAACCTGTGGTACTTGGAAAGCACATAAGTAGTTTATATACGTGAAGAAATCTCTCTTTATAAAAAAAAATGGAATGGATGATTATACACATTAAATATTAATTGGTTTATTTGATATTTATAATAATAATAATAATAATAATAATAATTGTATATATATATTTCATTTTCTTTTTGTCGTTAAATGCTTATATTGACATAATTTTGTAGTTCCTAATGGTATTTATATATATTATTATATAATAAGGTTATTTTGTCAAGTTTTACATGGAAACTTTTAAGCTGCGTAGGTGGTATACA